TCTACACTGACAGGTTTAAGAACGTTTTTAGTAACAGAATAATTTTTAGATATGATATGTAAATAGTTTTTTGAGTTTATATTGTAACTTAGGATATGTGATTTTATCTTAAGAAATAAAGATTATTATTATTATTATTATTATTATTATTATTATTATTATTATTATTATTATTATTATTATTATTATTATTATTATAAAAATCTTGCACAAAGTACAGCACAACTTCCTTTTAGTTAGCTTCCTTAACAACGTGGAACTTTATCACAGTACAGAGTAACTGTTGAATGTTAATCATTAACAAACATTGCACAATTTTTACAAACCTCTTTTAAAAATCACTTCAACATCCGGATACAGAAATTTTGCAAAAATTTAATTTTACATAAGTGCTAAGACTTAAACTTACAAATTCAAATTATCTTTTTTCTACAATGTAACTAAACAATGCTCAGTGAAAAAGCAAAATCTCCTAAATCTTGTTCAAAATCAGTATCAATACCCAGTACACTGTACATTGTATTGGTTCTTGAAATAAGCAACTTGATTGGAGACTACAAGCTTTGGACTTTTCATGTGGCACAAATAATGATTGTTCATGTCTTATCCCCTGCAACTTTTCAATACATTCTGAAAAAAGAATTTATAAAACAAAAGGCAGTGTAAGCTGTGGTACCTTTTTTTTAAAACAGTATGTATGTTATAAAAAAATATTTGTTTAGATTTATAAGACACACGGAATCAATTAGGAACGGCACTTTTGTATTTGGGCCGACGTTTATTTTATTTACCCTTCTCTCATTCAAAAATGCCGGGTGGAGCGGACGTGACGACCAGTACGTGTGCGTTTGCAGGCTAGCCTCCACCCTATGGAATTTTGAAAATGGCCTACTGTCTTACTACAATCAACTCTCTCAAAGCGACCACTTCTCGTAAGCGACTACGTCCCGTAAGCGACCACTTCTGTTTTGTTACTCAGTCAATACTGTCTCAAAAACTCATCCGTAAGCGGCCACTGCTTAAATGTCTTAAACGACGCGCAAACACTTTTAAGACGAGGAATTTGACATGTTCCTTTGCTTTCTGTTTCCGGTATAAAACCACGAAAGTAAAAATTCAGTCTGATTGGTCTGCTCCCAACGGCTCAGTCGGTGCAGTGTGGACGTGATTTAAAACGGAAGTACGAATCGATGTTAACAAGCTTTCGTTCTTTTTAGAAAGGTAATGACCCAAAAACAGCCCCCGATCTTGAAACGTCGTTTTCGGCAGAATTTCTAGCAGCAAATGGGTCGTTTTAAATTGAGTTTTCCTTGTTTTGTCCAATTGTCGGACCTCCAAGAGACTACCCTCGGGAACGGAGAACTGGTCGCCTAGAATTAATAAAGGGATAACCCAAAAAAAGGATGACATTGCAGCTTTAAAACTTGATAAAACAGCAGCTGCGTTTTAAAGTTTTTTGCTAATTTGAATGATTGATTTTTTTTTTTTAATCGATGTGACCTACAGTCTTGGGCAGAATAAAATGGAGTGTACACCGGCCTTTTTCCCCAAAAAACGTAGATGAAGCTGAACCAACGCTACAAAGCGCGGTTTAGTGCGTCATTGATTGATGTCCGTGGGTAGGGTCATCTGAATTTTTGATTTATATTTTCCACGAGTACAACCAGGTAAAACCCCTTAAATTCTTTTCCATAAGAAACATCAAATTTATCTGCATGGTGAACGCATGAGTGATCGTCAGCCAGGCTAAATAAAAATTCCAAATCTCTGACCGCCTGTCCACATTTTTGACCTGAACTGGTAATGTAATCAAAATAAACTCAGATATCCAGGGCAACATAATAAAACACCAATCGGTATTACTTTCATTTTCGACTTCCTCTTGTTCGATCTGCGTCTCAAAATACAAGCTCTCTTACTGCCTTCCCGTTAAGTGAAGATAGAAAACGGTTAGTATATGCAATTGATGTTGGTCCTTCGCTTTTCTGATCCGAGTTCTGAGACTCTCAAAACTATTATAGCTATTTACTGTTCTGGGCGATGATGACTTGCGTTGCAACTGTGTATCGTGCCCAGTGGGTAAAGTTGTCTTGCAGCGAGAGATAATCGATTGTTTGCGCAGTAGTATAACAATATGTCGAAATGTGTAAACCTTGAAGTCTGTAGAATTACAATATGGTGATCAAAAACTACCAGATCCCTCATGAAGTTTTCACTATTTATAAAGACTCGTGCGGAAACAGTAGATTGAGAATCGAGATAACATCATGATTGTAACTCAGGCTAAGATTTTTCCGAAAGATTCCAAGGGGGACTCTTGCGACTTCGATTAGTCCCACAGATTGGTCAGTAAGATCAAAATGATAGGAATACTATATTGAATGTTGCACACCGTCAAGTCCACAAAAACTTGAGTCTGCGGAGCTTTATAACCATTCCACTCTATTAATTATGGCTGAATAGAGCAATAGACATGAAATAACGTCGAGCATTTTGATTCACCATGTTTCCAAGTGCAGTTGTCTCGATCTATTTTTTTTCGGCACCACTCAGCACTTTGCTGACGCTTTAGTCTTTTGTCTATTCTAGTTTCTATTTAACGAAGAGTCTAAGTAAATCATGGATAATTCGAGAGAGAATGACAGTCACGGGACGCTACACATACTTGAAAACGTTCATTTCCGCATATTTTTTGTCTATGCTTTATGATCTCTAACATTCGTCGACAACTCGTCTGATACAGTAACGCAACTCGTCTAATAGGTTAACGCAACCGTACTGCTAATCAAACAATTTCACTGAGTTGCAATACATCTTAATACATGTCCGCGCCCAAAGGCAACCGAACAACCTCGTTCGGGCCCTCGTTTCTTCTTTCCAGTTCGATATCCCCTTTCCATGAGTTGGCAACCGGAGAATTTTCCGTCAGTGGTCCGTCAATATATTTAGTTTAATGAAGTGAAACATCAATTTAAACGAATCAATCGGCTTGGGGATCAAGAAAAGCGACCTGAATTTGAGAACAATGGGTAATGTTCTGTATCGTTGTTTTTGATTGTTTCTTGCCCTGTAAGGACAAAAACGATCAACGTGAAACGATAGCTTTCACGTGCAGGACTTTTCAACATTTCCGATAACTTCTCTCCGATGACGTTTGAATTTTCGGCGTGACCGAAGTAAGGAGCAATTTCAACCCAGGGGAAGGGTAAGAGTTACAGTAGTCAGGACGAAACATACGACGCAGTAGTGGTAGTGTTAGGTAAGTATTGAACAGACGAGTTTACCAGTTGCATCCTTGTGTTTTATTTCGGGCTTAGCCTAATGGCAGCAACTTTTCCATAAAAAAATGCTCATCTTGCTCGTTCATATTGCAGTAAGGAACTAAATATGAGCTCGAATAGAAAGAGCTGAGAACTTAGAATTCAGTTTGGTTGATCGCATACGTTTTGGTTGTGATTTTTTATAGACTGGTTATTCTGTTTCCGAGATGGCAACATTCAAATTTCGTCCTAAAGAACTTTAACGCTACCTGCAAATGAATTTTGTATTTTATAGTCATTCGTTAGAACACGTATTGACTTCTTAGAATTAAAATCACTTAATATTCATGTATTGGAAAGCGTAGTAAACAACAGAGGAACAAAATCAAACTGCTTTTTCTCAGTAAACAAAAGACTGAAAACATCGCACATTCTTTTGAACTGCCAGCCAAGTCTAAAACACGTCTAAAAGCCCCGACACTGATATTGTTTATTGCTCCTTCGAGTGAAAATTACACGCCCTTAGTGCTGAACATCACTTACATGCACCAGCAGTATACTTGTGCAACTTTTCGGAAGGGGTTAAACGAAACAATTGATCGCTAAAAGCACTTACGTACCACTAGATTCAGTTAAACATCTGCGATCTTTGCGGTCAGGAGCAGCAACAAGATTAATTATACCAATGGAGAGGGGCACCTTTCAAGACTCTGCTGCCAAGTTATTTAATGTCCTTCCGGCAAATATTAGAAACTGTAGCAATTTCCAAGTATACTGTAGGGAAGTTAATGCCTACCTGTTAAATAACATTTGTAAATAGTTTGTAAATTGCATATAGGGCTGTATTACTATTACTAATCTCTGTTACATTATTATACAATATCCTTTTATAGTCCGATATTATTGCTTTTTATATTGTAGATTTCATATTTTATTTTCTACTTTTTAACAGGTGAAGAGCCACTAGGTGGATAAACTGTTAATAAACCATTATTATTATTATTGTTATTATTAAAAGTTAATAATGAATCGAACATCAATTCACTTAAAATAATAATAATAATAATAATAATAATAATAATAATAGCCGATTATTTTTAGTATTATTACTATTATCATTATTATTATTATTATTATTATTATTATTATTATTATTATTATTATTATTAAATTCTCCGTTGGCGATGAATACACTGAAAGGAATAAGAAAACCAAAGACTGAAAAAAAGCAAAAACAGCCCTGTTTTAGAGGATAATAATGCGCAAAAATGATAACAGAGGCAGCAAAGCGCATTTTGAAATCGCCCTGAATATAATGTCCTCACTCACCTTTTAGTTAACTTCTAAGTGGACGACCACGTCATTAGGGATGTGTAAAAAATGATTTTGTCCTCTCTCAAACGTTATCGCCTTCAATTCAGGCCCAATCAATTCGTTAAGTGGGCGGGCGATTTTTCCTGGAGTTGACGACTGAATTCTTAGGGACTGCATGTATCCAACTTCATAAAAGAAAGGAAAGTCACTCGCTCACCCGAGCTACCCTAAAACCACGTGAAACGAAGCAGTAGTGACTGGAAAGTAAGGCTTACCCAGTCGGAGTCAAGTAGAGCAATCATTTCTTTTTTACCATCTTTCTAGCTTTACCGGCTCATTTATTTCCCTCTTTTCTTCCCTTCAAAGGTAGCTTCTAAGAAAACAACACAGTTGGAGTCACTTTAAAGCTACCATTGAAATACAGCAATGGGGCAAATTGTAACTCACAGGGGAGGAAATCGAGTGGCTGATCTGGACACCCAGAGAAATCGAGTGGCCGACCTGGAAAGCCAGTTGAGACGAGCAAGGTCAGACTGCGAAGAAGAGAGGAGAGCAAGGGAACAGTTAGGACGCATGTTAACGTCAATAGAGCGAGAATTGAGAAGTCTGAGAAATCACTGGGTAATTGCCAGTGATGAAATTCAAATCAGAAGAGACCAGCCACTCGGGGAAGGCGCGTGGGGAATCGTCTACCGTGGAAAATTTCAAGGATGTGATGTAGCTGTAAAAGAAATACACCCAATCATTATGTCTGATCGAATCAGGCAATTGTTTGAAAGAGAAGTGGACATTGCCTCAAGGTGCCGCCATCCCTGTCTATTGCAATTTATTGGTGCAACAACTGGTGAGAGACCCCTGTTAGTTACGGAGATAATGGAATGCAGTCTAAGGGCGAGACTATACAATCAAACTGACCCACTACTATCGGACCCTGAAATAACTACGATTGCTCTGGATGTGGCTAAAGCACTAAACTATCTGCATCATAAACGAGATCCCATCATTCACCATGACATCAGTAGTGGGAATGTTTTGTTGAGGCGACAAGGTGACCAGTGGAGAGCCAAAGTGTCAGATTATGGCACTGCTAATTTTGTACGTGAGAGTAGTATAAATTATGCAGGCAATGCTGTCTATTGTGCACCTGAGTCCGTACTTGAAGATCCCAATAGACCGATCAGCTGCAAGGTTAGTATTGTGGAAAGATGCAAAGGTGCAGTATTTATGTACCGTAAACTGGCGCTTATAAGCCCTCCCCCCCCCCCCACCGCACATACACACTAACACCCCACCCCCCCACCACAGCCCAACCCCCACATTATTAAAAACAAGAAACCCCACAGAAAAACCCACCAAAAAAACACCCACGACACCAATTAGAGAAACTAATTTAATCAAACATATCATACATAGTACATATCTTTACAAAAAACAAAAAAAATCAACCACTCATTTTCGTGGTAGGTATGATAATTTTTGTGGGAATTCTGTTTTTTTTGGACCCACGGTCAGACTTGTAAATACCGAAATGACCGAGCGCTGTAAAAGTGGATTTTTGGCAAGACTAAAAGGGGGAAGGTTTTTTTAACCGTAACTAGCGCTTTTAATCCCCCCCCCCCCCTCCACCGCACCCACCCATTTTTTCCCCCCCCCCCCCAAATTAAAGGCCCATCTACCTGTATATAAAAAAAATGAATCCCATTAGAAGCCCCCGGATAAAAGCCCCACCTAGCTGGTAATTTAGTGAATTTGATTTACCAGTATTACGGCGTTTTGAAGCCTGATCAAAACACAGAAAATTCAAAAGGTACTACTCCAAGGCATGTTTTTTGCTAAGGAAACTGGGATAAGCTTTGGCTGCTTGAGTCTTTGGCTCGTGTGCGCCTTTACTTTTTTTACCGTAATTTACAAATCAGGTCAAAAACTAGAGTTAAATACCATCAACTGACGTGATGCAACTCATGTGAAAATGACTGCCGCACAGGTTGTCGAAACATTAGTCACCGCCAACATAACTTGGGAGCGGGGGAAAAAAGGCGCGAGAAAAACGGCTTGGCGGTCCACTCGGCTCGCTTCGCTCGCGGACTTTGCCTTGCTACGGAGCCTGGTCCCTGGCCAATGTCAACAACAGTCAAGGACTCACCCGGACGATCATAATGAAATGACCCCTGGGTTCAAAATTTTCTCCGTGCCGAGTTTATCACGAGTTTACTCCGAGGCTCCTTTGATCTTTACTAGGTTGACGTTTACAGTTTTGGTGTTCTCCTCTGTGAAACATGCACCAGACAAGAACCAAACCCCCAGCGGCGACAAAGGCAAATAGACATGATTAGAAACGATATGTTTAAAAACCTCGTGAGAAACTGTGTTAAGGACGACTCTTATATGAGGTGGGATATGGGTTCAGTCATTCAAGAGCTGGAGAACCCCGGAAGTCAAGAAACCAGAAGGAATCAGCATTCAAGGACAGCATGGCATTTATCTTGGCAGGTCTAAAATACAGGTCACTTTCCACAGGTCAGGGCATAGTCACCATGCTACAGACAGGATAATTCCTAGCCCTAATCTCTTTACAAAATGATCTTTTAGATCGAGAAGAAACTGCGTGGCTTGAGTAATTTATCGGTGGAGCAGTGACGTCTACTTTTGATCTGTGGAAAGTGAGCTGTATTTGACGTACTTTAGACCCGACACAACTCATCTAAAAAGACTCACGGTGACAAGTATGACCCTTGTCCAATACTTTGCTGGCAGTGTTACGGACCGTGAGCTACACAACAGCTGCACTTGATGCATCGTCTTGTACAAACCGTAAGCCTTGTTTATGGTTTGTATTAAGCTCACACGGAGCGTCATCTTGAGAGTACCTTAAATAACAAACTTATTGCAAACACAGAGAGTGTAAGCCATGAGACACGCTACACAAAAACATATCTCGTTCTTTAAGTCATAAGACGAACCCCGGGACGAAGCAAGGGCACGACACTTACACACGCACGACCCACACGCAGGACCCACATGCTCACATACATATGTCACATATATACCTCGTTCGTAAGGCTACGTTCACACAGCACCGGACAGCTTTCCGTGCCAAAACGAAAAGCTCTCCAGTATAGTGTGAACAGCAACAGCACAGAACTGGAACAAATCGTTCACACACATCGAACATCGTGCCGGAGCGGTTGGCCGAGAGGGCTTGGTGAACTAAATCCCAGTCCTCTCTCATTTACTTTTAGATATTCCTCTCCCTTGGCCGTGGGTGATATGGGTACGAGATTACATAGGATCTTTTCTGAATGGTAGACAAAATCGAGAGGCTGCAAAAGCGTGCCTTAAGTGTTTATATTCCCAGCGCTGCACTATCAAGAGGCTGGTTCTTGATATCTCCCGTGACAAGGTCCACCATAGATTAACTGTATGCACGAAGACGAGAAGACCGAGAAACTTTGCGCCAAACCTTTCGGCAAGCTAATTAAAAACCTGTTTCGAAAAGACGCGATTTTTGGCAATACCGTAAAATTCCCAAAATAAGCCCCTCCATTTATAAGCCCCCTAAACTCGTAACACGAAAGACCCTCCGTTAAAAATCGCCCCTCCAAATATAAGCTCCCCGGGGGCTTGTACTTGGAAATTGCTCTCAGACAAATACAAAGTAAAACAAAGCAAAAGCTGTAATTTTCCTTCCATCTATAAGGCTGGCCCAATCGATTTTGAAACGCAAATCTCCCTCCGTAGATTAGCCTCCCACGCAGGCGTTTTTAGGGGAGTTCGTTTTTCATCCCTCAAAAAACGAGCTCCCTTAAAAACGCCTGCGTTGGAGGCTATCCGTAGATAAGCCCCTCCGAATATAAGCCCCTCCAAAATTAAGCCCCTCAAAAAGGGTATTTGAAAAATATAAGACCCGGGGCTTATTTTC